ATTATTGATTCCTTGGTTTATATTGATATTTTATGCTATTTTTTGGCTATTATCATCCAGATTTCAAATTCGGGTGAATTTAAGTTTTTATATATTTTTTAATTATTATTATGAAATTTTTTAAAGTAGTAAACTTGTTAATAAAAAGCAAAAATTTAAAGGTCTTATTAGAAAAAATAAAAAAAAAGGTAAGAGAAAAAGAAATACTTCTATCTAATATTATAAAATGTTTGTTCTAAAACTTTGTATTTAGCTAAGCCATACGAATATATATGATTATTCTTTATGCTTATGATAACAAGTTAAGCAGTATAAGATAGCATTTTTTACTCTAAAATTATGAGTAAAACGAAACGGTTAGTCAAATTGTATCCTTATATAAAAAAAAAATCAAAAAGAGATTAAACTGCAGTGATTAAACATACAACTCTTTAAATAAAATTGGCAATAGACGTGAGATAAAAATAGGTTTAACTATTACTTTTACAATAAGAATATACAATTAATTCTATATGAACAATATTTTATTATTTCTGATATTTGATAAGAAGCTTATACAATTTACATTATGATAAATAATTATTCATTGTCAACAGGCTTCTCATAGTTATATTACTGCATTAGTTTAGGTTTCAGGTTTTATAATATTATTTTTTAACAATGGTGCTTGCATATTACAAGATCAACATATTGTTTTACTGTAGATAATTTTATTCCAGTCGCATAAGAACTATAAATTACCATTGTGTAGTAATTTTTAATTAAATTTTCCTATGTATAACTTATATAAACATTCTACTGTATTAATTATTATACTATATAAATTAATTTAATAATTATGAATTGATAATTTTAGATTGATCAACAAATACATATAAAATTTTACAATAAGTTAATAATACAGCATATATAATTAAAACATCTGAGCTTTCACAATAACAATAACCTGTAATGATAATTATATTATATTTTAGCTATAATTGCCCCAAAGGTAGAGCAGTTTTGTTAACTATTTAGCAGCAAAGTAAAAGTGAAATAAATCATATACACTATTACCATGTTAAACCTCTTCAACTTTAAGATAAATTACTACTACTACAAAACAAGTAATACATGATATGGGAAAGCCTATGCAGCAATCAGAAAAAACATAGATTGAGTCAACAGATTTCTTATCAAAGTGATCTGCACAGCAAGTTTTATCTTGCTTTAATAAATGTAAATCAACAGCCTACATTTACAAAGAAAGCAAGAATCAATTTCAACTTCACAACAACAATTATATGTATAATAAAAATAAAGTAAAGTACAATCACACAAACATTTTCAATATTCAAAATAACATTATTATATATTTCTAATCTAGCATATATCAGATAAATACAATTCAGAGGCCCATAATAGTATTCATTAAATTCTTTGTTATCTATTTTATATCTTTTGAAATATCTGCTTTAAATTAGTATATGCACAATTTGTATAAATCTAACATTAATATTTTTAAAATTCGAATTAATCTTATTAGGATCTTTAATATGACCAAGCCCAAATTCGATAGCATGATTTTAAAGAAACAATAAATAAATCTTGAGAATAGCATAATTTATTAAAGAATTCTGTCTATTTGAGGTAATTGTAAAACAAGTGTACTTTTTGAATTTGCATTTTCAACTAAAACGAGAGCATTAGTTGAATAAAGAACAAGTTTAATGAGATATCCAGAATTTATCAAGACTAAAAAATGCTAAAAAAAAATTACTTTTTTATTGTATAGTAAATTATTTTTATGAAATATAATTAATACATGATATTTATACAACTAAACTTAGTTCTGAACATATCTAGTCATTTAAAGTTATACTAAAAACAGAACAAGTCATGCACATATATATATACATGCATAAAAGATAAAATATGTATTTATATCCCTATTGTGTTTATTAAATCATCTAATGATCAATAAGATTTTGTGGAGTAATGACTTTCAATTACCATATAACTATAAGGTAGCTAAGTGATGCTATCATACTGAAACCAGAAATATAGGTTCAATGCTCTTTATAATTATACAAGAGTCAATGCAATCTATTTTTTGTTAAAGTATTATTCCATATTGATGATAATGTCACAATATTTATCAATCAAGCATATCAAAATTATGGATGGGTTCAGTCGTTATAGTCGGTTATTGGTTGATCATTATCAGTTAATTGCTCATAGCCGATTGATTGTGATTGGTCATATAAAAAAATATAGCATATCATCTATAATTTTTGTTAAAATTGCAGATCATTTAACCAGATTTAAAATTGGTTTGTTCTAGTTCTAGTTAAATGATCTGCAAATTTGACCAAACTTATAAGCGATGATTTATCAACCAGGGTAAAATCACCACCCAAAAAAGTTTCAAACATCATATGGCAAATATATCAAGCACCAAAAATTCATGTAATTCATTTAACTTGAACAAAAAATACAGATGAACAAAAAAAATTATAGACTAACAAAATAATAATGATAAGCAAGTTTGTTTATTTCGGATAAACTCAATAAATGTAATATTTATTACAGCTAAAAAAGTATTATAATTATAGTTTTTAGAAATATTTGGAATATTTTATTGCCTTTTAAAATGATTATAATTCTCTTCCAATTTATGCAATAGCTTTAAGTTTTATTAATCCTATCAAGCTATTTGTTATTATTTGGATTCATTATGTTTTCTTCAATAATGTTTTTTGTTTTGTTCTGGATTCAAAATGATAAAAACTTTTTGCTCAAATAAATAATCAGAGTTATAATCTTCTGGAAGAGCATTAAAAATAAAATCTACAAGACTTCTGGTGCAATTGCATTTTCTTGATTAGTTTTTACAATTTTATTTCAAATTTTGTTCTTTTTTTTTCATTTATTATTAGTGAAAATTTGGTTACGGCAATTGATACATATTTTTTAAAATATTTAATTTTATGCTATTAAAAGAATCATTTGGTTTGTCAAGATAAAATAATTGAAGAATCGAAGAAAACAAAATTACTAAATCAATTAATATCTTATTATTATGATCCTAATCGATTTTTAAAACTTTTTTGGATAGCAATTTTACTCTGGTCTGATTTATATTTTAATATTTTAGGCAGCTATCTCACAAAATTTTTTTTACCCCTGTAATTTTGACCAATAAAAATTTAAGATCAGATATAATATAATAGTCAAAACAAATTTGTTTTGTTTTCTAAGTAAAAAATAGTACATAAAATTAAATCTAAGAAAACTGCATTATATTTAGGGTTATATATAGTTAGAAAAATATGATAGCTATTAGTAAAATTTCATAATAAACATTTTTAATTAGGCTGCAGAAGATAGTTTTCTAATAAAAATTTAGAGCTATTCCTGTTTTTTGTAAAAAAGTAGTCTGTTTCAATTTTTATATTATACTTGATCGTAAAATTCAATTGGTCAAAATTACAGGGAGTGAAAAAAAAAAATGTAAAACAGCTAAAGGCTTTCTGATTTATCAGATAATACAGATCTTCTAATATGATTTCATAAGTTTAGCTATAATAAAAATTATTATTTATCTGGCATCAGTCATAATTTTGATCAGTCGGTTGACCTCTGACTAGTCAAATATCAGTTACGGTTGATGATCTATGTCATACCATTTTTTTTCTATATGACCTTAGTCATATAATTATATGACTTTGGTCATAGTCATCCAGTCATATTAAATACTAATTAAAAAATTCTTTACTATAATTCTTACTATATTAAAAAGATTATAAATCATATCAATCTTCGTTATAACCAAATGATCTATGATAGATTATATAGGTCATTTAAGGTCATAGGCATGACTGACTGGTATAGTGAATTTAATTTTATAATCTTACCCTTTTTGGTGTAATTGATTATTTAACCAAATAGTATCATGATTGTTTGAGCCCTCGAAGAAGATAATGTGCATATTGACATGAGACTAACATAATAGTGTGGTGCCTCTGATATTATAAAGTAGGTTTCAGAATATGTTCTCTTTCATATTAATCGAAATATATAAAAGTGAAGCATTTATTTTAATAAACAGAAGAACCTCTTTCTCATAATAAAGTAACCTAAACATAATGATATTATCACCTTAATTTCGTACCATCATTAAGTCACTCTAATAGAATTACTATGCCCTATAGAAGTCTTTTATATTCAATTCACATAACTTTTAGTAGCGGTTGGAGCTATACTGCGCATTTATTATGCATCACTTTTCCAACCAACCATTATACCAGATAGATTAGCAGAAAAACAAAAATTTAGTAGATCGGCCTGAATTATGGGTCAGATTGCACCAGTGTTAATTAATTTTACCCAAAATCACTCAAAATTTTACTAAAGTAAAGCTGCCCAGATGATAATTTTGTGTAATACAGTTAGTAGTTGTTGTTTTTAATGCTGGCTTAAATCCGATGAAATCTGACCTATTATTCAGGCTGATCTTTTGAATTTTTGCAGCTAATACTAATCTATCCTGACTGGTATTACACTCAATTTTTGTTTTTTTTAGTTAGTATCATTATTCTATTATTATTTTATGTATTTCTTATTTTGGTATAGGTTGTGACATAGTCGGGGGATAATAACTCTCAACAAGGGATAATAACTCTCAACAAGGGATAATAACCCTCAACGAGTAACAATAACCTTTAGCAAGGGGTAATAACCCTCAACGAGTGATTAAAACCCTGGTACAAATTAAAGATATATAAGGTGTGATTTTAGTCTGAAGGGAAGTGGTTGAAGTTGTTGAAGTGGTTTGTAGTATTAGTATGGTTGTTAATATTCCGATATATTGATTTATATTAATAAAGAGAACTCTATAATCCGTAATTATGTGTATTAGTTTATTGATTTAAACCATTTAACCTTAATCACTATTTGTTCACGATCGAAGCTAAATTGGTTCAAACCCTATCAAGCTCTCCCCCAGATCGTAACACTGGTCATGACCTGACTGAACCCATCCCTAATCAAGATCCAAACTTGATTTTGATTTTCAATTAGCAAGAATGTGATAATTATGTAATGCAATTATTCGATTATTGCATCCAACAGAATCGAGATTTTGTGGACGAATGCAAAACTTTGTATTTAACTATATACTCTGTACTTTGTACTACGTTCCTGGTATACACTTCATGATATTTACATATCACTCCGTTCCTGGTATATACGTACAGCATTACTTTATACCAAAGCTTGATTCCCAAAAGGAAATTAAAATTTATGGTAATATTTGTTATAAATAAAACTTGACAAGGTACACATATCGAATAAATATGGTAAATTTTATTGTTATTATAAACTTTACCACAGTCAAGGCTTGTCTTTCCTATTTTAAATTTTTTTCTAAATCTTCATAGTCACTGTTTGTTAAAGGAAACTTAAATGCTAGTCGAGCATTTTGCTACAATTGACCAGCATCTAATGACTGCATTAGCCACTTGATTACGATGCAAGCTTGTTCATTCTTGTAAGTTTGTAAACACTGGTGGTCTAAAACAGTTAGTCGTTAATGATCTGTTTAATATAAATAGCATTATAATCCCTAACCTAAGACAGTCTGACATCATAAAGCTTTCATTGTGGCTGATAGGGTTTGGAAGTTTTAACCATTGATAAGGATACTTGAATGATTTCCAAACTCCAAGGAATCTTTGCTCACCATCTGGTGATAACATAGCGATAGTTAATTTAGGAAGTTTTTATATACAAAACTTATAAAAATTTAAAAAAATTTAGAGCATAACATATAATAGTTACAAAGCTATCATAGGTGTTTTGTAATAAATGAAAAAAATATAATTAAAATACTTTGTATATTTTCACTAATGGTTAAAATTTAATTAATCTGCATGTAGGCTGGTTAGACAGGTTTTCTATTTAACATAGCCCCTATTTTTTAAAAATTTTATAAAAAAATAAGTATTATATTAATCATCAAATTTCAGTATTAGTGTTTTTTATTTTTATATTGTTTGTAGCCAATAGGATTTCTGTATTTTTTATTAATTTACTTTTTAATATCCCTCAACTCTCACGAGTTATTTTGCATTATGTTAACAAGAAAATTAATTTGAAGTGGCCTCAGTAAAAAGGCCGTTATTTCAGATATTTAAACAAAATTGTATATTTAACTATTATTCAATCGTGTAGTGGCCTTTTTAATTTAAGTTCTTGAGTATTTATCATTAAGTATTGTTTCTCATTTATTAGCATTTATTTAGTTGGTCTTGTAAAGATAAGTGTCATTATTTTATATTCTGTGATCCAGATTTTTTTATCACCGGGTAGATCAAATACAAAATTCGGATCAAAAATCTCTAAAGCTTCTATTTTTTTTATATTTAGTCAAGATGAATAACGTAAATATGGCTAAAACCAAAGGTGCTAAGATTTGAACAGCACCAAGGTGTAGAATAGATTTTTTTTCTGATCACGTGATTATTAGCCAATGAAAATCATAATTAAGTGTAACGTATCACGATCAAGTGTAACATATAATGGAGGTCTGGACGGGCCGAGCAGAAATTAGAAAATTTAAAAATCTCAAAATATATGTCATAAACATAGAAAAATGCGGGCCGGCAAAAGTACGAATTTTTAGGCCCGTGCAGGTAATGTTCCGCAAACAGAACCGAAGATTTGAGGACCCGCCCGAAACCGCCTTCCGGGTCTGGTCCGAAATCAAATTACGCACGTTGATTGGCTGCATCTAGGGTCTCTTGTGTTGGTCCTATCTGTGTCTGAAATTTGACTCACAACTAAATAATAAAATTATTTGCGGAGTCTGTGTATGTACTTCTCGGGTCTTACCCGGATTCGACTGATTTTTTCGGTTCGGGTCCGGATCTTTAAAAAAACCTGCCGAATCCGGATTTTGCGGAACACTACGTGCAGGCCTCTAATATGTGAACTATTGGTTTCAAAAAAATTAGAAAATTCAACTAAGAAATTACCTTCGTGCTCTAATTAAAATTTTTCCTTGAACAATTTTGTTACAAGGATTGCTAAACTCGAATTAAAACCTTAACACCAACCTAACTTGAACGAAGCTCTAAGTGCTACGATGGGATTTTGGTTGATCATGGAAAATCTATCCTCAATGTTAGGTTCTTCGAATGTAACGGTTCTCGCTAGCTTCGAACGGTTAAAAACCTTGATGCACACGTTGTGCCCAGACTTGCTATTTTAGATGTTTAATAATTTTAGTGCTAAGTCTCGGTCAGGCGTGACTTCAGTGCCTAAAGATGCAACTTTTGAAAAGTTACACAACATATGTACCGTAATGTGCCATATAAACGACCCTGGTCTGCTACATTCCACCAATTTCCAAACCTATATTTAGACCCGGGGGTCTTTTGTATAGGTGTGGGTATGATAATTGGGGGTTTATTCTATTTCA